TCCCGGCTCCTGCTCCGGGGCTCCTCTCTTTTGCGGCTCTTGTGTTGCAGCGCGAGTCGTGGCCGTGTGTTTCTTGGGCCGTTCCCTAGGTGATTTCATCCCGCAAAATGGGTGAACCTCAGCAAGTGAGCGCTCTACCGCCGCCGCCCATGCAGTATATAAAGGAGTACACGGATGAAAATATCCGCAAGGGTCTGGCCCCGAAGCCGCCTCCCCCTGTGAAGGACAGTTACATGATGTTTGGGAACCAGTTCCAGTGTGATGACCTGATTATTCGGCCCTTGGAAAGCCAAGGTATTGAGCGGTTACATCCCATGCAGTTTGATCACAAGAAGGAGCTAAGGAAACTTAATATGTCTATTCTGGTCAACTTCTTGGACCTCTTGGATATCTTGATAAGGAGTCCGGGGAGCATAAAGCGAGAAGAGAAGCTGGAAGACTTAAAACTGCTTTTTGTGCACGTCCATCACCTTATAAATGAGTATCGCCCTCACCAAGCGAGGGAGACCCTGCGGGTCATGATGGAGGTGCAGAAACGTCAGCGTCTGGAAACAGCGGAGCGATTTCAGAAGCACTTGGAGCGAGTTGTGGAGATGATTCAGAACTGCCTGGCCTCCTTGCCTGACGATCTGCCTCACGCCGAGGGAGGGCTCAGAGTGAAGGCAGAGCCCATGGATGTCGATGATGGCAACTGCTGCCTTGGACAGAGTGAAAAGCAGAGGGAGCGCTCTGCTTGCAAGAGAGATCAGGTTTTAGACAAAGATGCAGCAATGTGTAGCATTATTGATGAAATGACATGAAAAAAAAACTTTTTTAACTACCTTACTGTAGCAAGGGGCAGAATGAATTCTAACGGTATCTTTGGTACCAGCAAATTTTAATTGTACAGCCAAACAGCATTCGTCTTACCCATGATGGGAAGGATTGTGAATGAATGGACAGATGGAAATGATCAATATTTTATGTAATCTGTGTGTTTATTCACAAGAACAAAAATGTCTACTTGTTAAATGCATTATGTGAAGTGGTAGCAACAAATTAAATTGTCTTTCTTTTTAGTGTACTTTCATGTAATTTGTTACTTGCTGCTTTTTGGGGGGTAAATTGTTTGCTACTTGCTAGGTAGTGTGGAGGCAAGTAAGGGATCTGACAGAGAAATTCAAGTTTTTTTATTATTTTTTTCTTATAAGCTTTAGTTGCATACACTTTCAGTGGGTCTTTTCTGAAATACATATTTCACTATTAAAAGTAATGTTAGGACCACATCTGCAAAATCCATTTCTTTAACAGAGAAATTATAAAAATATAATTGTACAAAAAGAGCCTAAAAATACTTTATTAGGGATGTAATATACTACAGTCTGTATGTGTGTGTGTTTTTTGTAGTTTTCTTTGTGTGTTTTTTGGGGGGGCTGGGGGAGGGTGAGACCATCGGGAATTTTGGGAATGAATTGGGCTAAAATTAATTGGACTTCAGTTTTCTTACATATAAATCATACCTGTTTGTGAGATTACAAAAACACCTATGTATTTCTTCCTTTGTTGTATGCTTTTGTTTGTTTTTCTGTGTGGGGGTGGTTTTGGAATGGAGAGGTCGTCTCTCCCACCTGTCTCTCCTTTCAGGGAGATCTTAATTTTGTCTTTTTGCCATGTATTGCCTATTTTCCAAACTCTGTATATAAAACCCTATATTAAAAAAACCTCATAAACCTCACGGGTGAGGGAACTTGCACAAACTGTTTTTCACGATGATTTTGCAGTCTGTCTTGTCTGGCAATTTGGATGTACCTTCAGAAGTGTGTGCTTAAATAGGCAAAAGCCTTAGCTGTTGGGTGATGGAAATTGAGCTCGCTGTGGGTACAATGATGTGATCTGGAACAACTGTGTGTGTGTGTGACTCATGTGAACTGTTAGTTGGGGTCAGTAGCTAGAGAATCACCTGCTATATTAAGTGCATGTGACTTGCTAGTAATAAAGAAGAGGAAAGAGGTGTTGTCAGAAACATGGCAATAAGTTTGTAGCAAGTTACCACTTATCTTCTTGTCCCATCTTCAGCCATGACTTGTTTTCTTCTTCACCCTTGGCTAGGTGTAAACTGTGTAGTTTATTTGTAACTAAAAACTGTTGTGAGTGACTGGAATTAATTGCATGGCTATTTGATAAATGCTTTCTAATGAAAGAGATTCAGTCCTTCCTGCGTAAGAATGGAACATGGAACTCCAGTTTCTCACAGACATTTCAGCTTGGCCATTTGGAAAGAACTGTCATGGATGCTTACTAATTCTCTGCTCATCTTGTTTTTAATGTTTTTCAATGTTTTAATATTTTTATGTTTTTAATACAGTCATAGGTCTAGACACCGTAGTTTTCAAAGTACTCTGCAAGCTGTGTCCTAGCAGCAACTAATGATTGCAATAAACTTCTGTGAAACAAATTGAGATAAGTGAAGGTAACGTCCCTTAAAAATACCTAAGACAGTTTTCACTTTCCAAAAAGATTCTTCTTTAATTTTTTTTTTAAATAACTTTTTTGGCCTATCTTTAAAGCAAATACTTATAAAGTCGGGGGAGAAACAAACATTATCTGTTGCTTCTAGGTTTGTTTTTTTTTTTTCCCCAGCCAAAACCTCTAGAGTTTTTTTCCTTTCATTGGCAGATTAAAGCAATGATAGTGGTGTTTTTTTTTTGTTTTTGTTTTTTTTTCCCCCTTTTTCTGTTATGAATTTATTTTAGGGAAAACAGTGGTGCTCATTAACCTGCTGGTGTCTTTCCTTATCTGACCAAATTCTCATTTTTGTTGAACACAGTGAAAACATTTGGAAGATTCTGTCTTGGAAATGTTAATGCACGATTGTATGATACGTATATTAAATTGCATACTCTTAATGGAATTCAGTAAGCAAAAGAATCAATATCTGATGGCAAGCAAAATTTCTTGTAAGAGTAACCAGTTGAAGTAATGTCTGAGCTTTGAATGAAGATGGAAAGGCAGAATCCGCCGGGTCCCTGCGCACCGTGTGCTCTGGCAGGGTCGCCAGCAGGAGGAACTCGTGCTGCAGAGCAGCAGGTAGGTGACCTTCGCAGCGGAGCCACCAGGAGGTGGCCTTTAGCCGGGCCACGTACCTGGCGTGGCTTTGGCCTGGGAGAGCCAGGTTCACACATGATCTTGTGAAGCAGCTTCAGTTTCTTTTGTGCTAAGCACTTTCAGGATTATAAATCATCTTTATATCAGAATTATGGCCGTAGCAATTGTCTACAGGGCACTGTTTTCCCAAGAACAAGAGGGGGGGAAAAAGGATTTTTTAAAAAATTGTAATTCAGCTTCCAGGTACTGTATATAAAAATCTCTGCCTCTCTCTGCTCTCTCCTGCTATTATTGCCTGTGTTTTCCTGGCTCTTCACTGATTTTATCCCATTCTTCATTTTCTCGCAACAGCAGTCCAATTGCCAGTTTATGTAAGGCAGTCAATCCAAGATAATGCTTGTTTTGGCAAGCGTTTCTGCTGTTTCCATTTTTGATTTTTAAAATAGTTGATTACAACTTGCACCCTTTTGCATAGACTAAAGTAGATCCTTTGTTCCTTCAAGGAAATTCCTTGGACTTAGGTGTGTAGATATATTGGATGTAGCCACGGTCCTAGCCTGAAAACTAAGAGAAGAAGTGTCAGCCTCAGGAAGAGCCGTGTACTTCAGGGGCAGGGAGAGTGGCCACAGAACACTAATTCTCAAAAAACACACATTTCAACAGCCTTTTGTCAAAGCTAGCTGAGAGCCTGGGACAGCAGGAGCTTTGAAGGAATTTCTGCGTTATAAGTTTTACTTTACACTGTAAAAGCTCGGGTGTGTACGGAATAGACGTGGAGTCAAATGATGATAGATTGCAACTCTGTTTAGGTAACCTTCTAACATTACCAAACTGCTTAAAGTGCTCCAAGCTACTCCTAAGCACTAAGACCGGAAAATTATAATTAAAAGCTTAAATAATATTTTTCTAGAAATTCATTATTTTTTCCAAGTTTTGTCCCTTTGCCACAGTGTGTTAAATATCCTATGGAATTTCTTCTCCTAGTTTTATGTATTGTGGCAAAAAAAGGGGCTGAGGAGTGCTATGGGGCAATGGAATACCTACAGTATTCTGTTCTGCAGAAGTTTGCATTAATGTCTTGCTTCATTTCTTTTCACAACTATTATCTACTTTACTGCAAGGTGGTAGTAGCAATCACAGATCAACAGAGCTAACAGGTGAGGAAAAGAGTGTGTGGTGCTTCAGACAACAGATTCATCCTCTGCCATAAAGCAAATGCAAAATGAAATAGAAAGTCATCTGAAGGGATGTTTATAATATTTTCGTTTTTTGATAGAATGATGGTCAAGAGTCCCTCTGCGTGCAGTAACAGCAGCAGCCCTTCGCTGTGCTGCAAGAGACCCACACTAAGCACAGGAAGGGCAATCCTGAGACGAAAGGGCTGTAGCAAGTGCAGCTGACGCACTAATACCGAGGTAGTAAAAGCAGAAGTGGTGAAGGAAACAAGTTTGCATGAATTTGGGCACCCACAGGGCGAGCAAGAAAGTTTTTCCGCGGCTTCAGCCACCATGTTTTCTTGTTCCTCCCTGAGCTGGATTCTGCTGATCTTGTTTGCAGGTAACTAAAGGAGCATAAAAAATCAAGCAGATGGATTGATGCATTTATGTTTCTTTATGTTCACTTTTTTGATATCAAGATGGGGGGTGGGGCAGGATCATACATCACAATTTGCTAGAGAAACTTCCATTGTGCATTGTAGATAGAACTTATTTACAGTAGCTCAATTGCTTTTGATTTTGAGATGAAATTGTATTTGTGCGTATGATGATTTTGAAGACACAATCTCAGAGGGTATTTTTTAGTCCTGTTGGCAAGTAATCTTAAGTAGATAAGTTTTTCTTTCTTTTTTTTTTTTTTTGGGGAGTGTGTGGAGGGGAAAGCAATGATGTTCAGAGATTAGCAGAGATCTCTAAATTATTTTAGAAAAGCTATGAAACACAGATATTTCTCTTCAGTAGTCTTTGTGAGGGCTCCAGAAATTAAAGACAAGCTTATATTACCAGAGGCTTCTGGCATGTTTGAGCTGACAGGAACTTTTCACTGGGACAGACAAGTAATTTCACTTTTTATTCTTTTGAGAAACAGCCATCTTCCTAGGACAATATTGTTAAAGCCAACAGCAGTGAAGACAATGGATTACAGAGCAGTAAGAGTGCAGGCAGATAGACATTAAAATTTTGGCAATAGGATATATTCAATAGACAGACAAGGAATATTATGGATACCCTTTTCTCTAGTTCTTCATAAAACTTTTTCTGATGAGATTCATGTACAGCTTTTATTTTTTCATATTAAATAAAATACAACCTATTTTCAGAGATCAGTTTCTAGTATGTTACTGTGCCAAAGCGACTGCATGAGACTTAGTTATAACCCAGATAGTTTATGTTGGGAAAAATGACACAGATGATGTGGGAAGGCCAGCTTTTCCATGAATGACAATTGCAGTCAAGCCAGACCATGCTTGGGATCCACCACCACAAGTTGGCTGACCTGCTTCAGGAGCTGCCTAATGGCAGAGGATGGCTTTTAAAGGAGAATATTTGTACCTAAAATACTTCAAATATTTTATTTCTAATATTTGTACAAATTTTGTCACGAAAAATATTCCCTTCAGAGGCTGCGGCAGAGAATTATCTCCCTGAAAGTTAACATAGACTGAAATTTTTAGGCATTTGGTCCAATGTTACTGAATTTGATAAAGATTATGTTATAGTATGTATGTGGCAAACTTTTTTCTTTAGAGGTAGGGCATGTACCTCAAGAACTGCATTGTAGAGCCTGGCAGAAGAAAGCAGCTCCACAGTGACTTTGATGGTCTGGATCACCAGAGGATGAATGATTTTGTCTGGCAGACTTTTATTGAAAACTTCCTCAAGGAAATATTGACCAGAGTAGTTTAAAGACAGCAGAAGAAACAATCGCACTGTAATAGGTATGCTGCCATTTGCTAGATGTTTTGATTTATCAGTCTGAGACAGCCTTCTGAGGACCTGAAAAGATCCGTTGCCATTGAGTTATGTCTAATGGGAACTTAGTAAGTTGGAAACTTCATAAGAATAAAAGAAGAAAAAGAATGATAAAAAGAAAGTATGAAGTTTCTTGTAAAAGCTCTGAAAATTCTCTTCAAATAGGAACTAGACCAATCTGTCCCAGGGAAGCTAAAAGGAAATGTTTTCAGCAGCGATCATTCTGGAGAAATCTGCCATTCAGTGACTTTCAATTGGACGGGAATGCTTTTAACACAGTGCTTTTAATGAAAAGTAATGACAGGTTCTCCACCTATGTGTGGACTGAATTAATCTCATTTAACAAAAAAAACAACAGACTGGACACAGCTGAAGAAAAGCCGCAAAGTTGGTCATAGCGAGTGTCTTTTCTGTGCAAACGATACAGGAGCATTGGGATGTACTGGGACATGCAAGGCAAGCTCTGGGAGTTTCTTCCCGTGCACACACTGCTCAACATTTGTCTTTTTGCCCACAGGTTCTGCAGTATCGGGATCAGTCGTGACAGGGGTGGTTGGTCAGAATATCCTCGTGCCCTGCTCTTACCCTGTTACAAGGGACACGGACATCACAACGATGTGCTGGGGCCGTGGCCGCTGCCCTTCTTCAAAATGTTCACAAACCATTATCTGGACAGATGGACGGCAGGTGACACAGCGGGGCTCCAAGAGGTACCAGCTAAGGGGGAACCTGCTGCAGGGAGACGTGTCCCTCACAATAGTGGACGCCAAGGAAGCGGATAGCGGGATGTACTGCTGCCGTGTGGAGATCCCAGGGTTGTTCAACGATCAGATAATTAACCAGAGGGTTGTGGTTCACAAAGGTGAGTCCAGGCGTGCTCTGTTGTGGGGAGTCTCTTGTGGGTAAATTTGAGGCTGGATTTCACGGTTTGTGTTGGAATGATGTCTGTAATCCTCCATAGCATTGATCCTCAGGACTTTGGGGAGCTGTTGGTGGTACTGTTTGACGTTGTTGCGATCTCAGGATCTCACTGTAATTCAACAAGGCCCTTTTCCTTGTTTCATGGCACACAGCACTGTTTAGGATTCTTAAGGTATTAGGTATAGAATTCAAGGGCAGCATAGCGTGCTTTACTCTTCAGTGAAGCACTGTACTTGCACCCTTTTCATAGAAGACAGCACTTCATCTTTCCTGATGGATTCCAGGGACACAAAGAGATAGTTAATATAGACAAATTTTGCCTCAATTTCCTCTTTGAATTCAGTTTTCCTCTGCTTATAGAAAGAAAAATGTGTAGATCGAATGGGTAACAGATGTGACTGTGTAATTAGTGCTAAGGTATTTTTATTATAGAAACATTTTTTCTATAACGCTTTCACTTTCTCACTGCATGCATGCATGTTAAAGTTAACTATGCGTATTAACATTAATTATAACATATGCTGGTTTTGTTTTATTTTTTAACATCAGCTAGGATCACTACTCCAAGTCCTCACACTCACACCTCTGAACAGACCTCAGGTAACTTTTATCCAAGTATTAATTTCAATAGCATACATGAGCTATGTTGCAATGGGGAAGTTAAAATGTAAAATGAGTGCTTGATGATAGAAAATTGCTGGCTAAAAATTGTTAAACATCACCATGGGACCTGAGATCAGAACTTGGCCTATAAATTCTACCTGAAATTATATAGAGAATCCAGGGGAAGAGGCATGTACACCCAGCAAGTATTTTGCTCACAGATGCCAACTTTTTGTGCTAGGCTTGAGTAGTCATACTATTTGTGCTGCAAGTGCTGTTTTCTTCAGGTGGCTGTGGGTTTTTTTGTCTTGTTTTCTTCATGTCATATAAGATCTCACCATGCCATCTGAAAATGCATTCTGTGAACCATGAATCAGAAATTTTTAGGGGCTTGGTGTGCTTATTATTTAATCAGTTTATTTGACACTCAGTTCAATGCCACATGGAACAGTCTAATTGAACTAGTTCTTACGAGACCAGTTCAAAGGTGCCTTTAGCTGGGAGTCCTATCTCCAGCAGTGGTCAACAGCAGATGGGCAGATGATTAAAGAGGATCATAGGAACATCATAGGAATTTTGTGATACATCCCCCAAAGTCTTCTCCTAACTTTCTATGTCCTACCCTTGTGTCTCAGTGGTTCCCTGAATGGAGTATGTGTATGCACATTTAATAGTCTCATGCAAGGCTCTTCACATCAAGAGACAGGGAACAACTATTCCTCACTTAATTTATCTATTCCACTCATGAATTTATAGACTTCTGTCATATACCCACTCAGATGTATCTTTCAGTCTGAGGGAAAAAGTCAACTTAAATTTCTAGTACACAAAAGATAGTTCATAGCCTAATGATAACTTTTTCTCAGGGTTTTGATATAAAAATTGGTAATGCCATTTTCAATCTCCCTCAGTCTCAGAGGTTTCCACTTAAGCATTCCGAAGTGTTAAAACAGTTGCATTTCCTTTTTGAAAGAAGAAGTGAAAACTTTCTCAGACTGTTTCTATTCTCACACTTATCTGGAAATTACCCCCAACTATGTTGCAGCTTCTTTTTTCCAACATATCACATTTCTTTAGCCTGTTCATTACGTAGTTTGTGGAGAATTTGAGGTTTGTTTGCATAATACAGTATCACTTGGTTTCTCTAACTTCATACCACTTAATCTGTCAAGGGCCTGAACTAATCTTAATGTGTGCATCAGATTAAGCATATTTGTTTTAGGCATTCAGCTGCCTCTTCTTGACTCGGCTGAAATCTGGTGCCCATCTCAGGAATTCCATCTTTCTGCATCCTGTGTTTAGATAGTGCAGAGAACTGAGAGTTTCCTGGAAGAAATTCAAAGCAGTGAAACGGTAGTAGAGGCTCCCATTCTCAGAGTTTTCAGCTGCCCTCTGAAGGCACCAACCTCTCTGATATAAAAAGCCAAAACTCTTGATTTAGATATTTTAATTAGGCAGCTCAAAGTCAGCAGTATAAATTCCTCTCTGTCATAGCAAAATGGACAAGTGCAAGTGATGTGTTGGTTTGTCTCGTCTTTGCTCAGCTCCTGGGACTGCCACTGACTCATCCCTTACCGTCACAGTGACATGGCCCCTTGAGTCTCTCTCAGAAGATCCTCAGACTGTAAGCATCTCTGTTGTAATATAACATACCTAGATTAAGTGATTATATATGGGAGCTTCCTGGGTCATCTCTACAGTTCACTTGTAGGGCTTTGGTTTCATTGCAGAAGAATATTTTTTTCATAGTCTGCACATTTAGTGCTTATGTGCTCATTACTGGAGGGTGGGGGGAACCAATTTGCTTTACAAGCACAAATTACTTCCCCTAATTAATTCAGAAAATTTAAAGAAACATTTATATTGACTTTCAGGTCTACGATCCCTCTTTAATCACCAGTTTCTTCTCAGACTGGTCAGATATAACCACAGACTTGCAGGTATGGCAGGATGGGGGAGGATGTGAAAACTCACTGCCTGGTAGCATGGGCATCCGCCTGCACCCAGGGCGAGGAGAAGAGACAGCTCATGTCTTGCTGCTGAATTGAGTCTTCCAACACATTTCAGGTTACCAGGCAGTAACATCACCCAGCTCTTAGCAGGAAGACAAGACAGCCAAGATTTGTTTTTTAGGAAAGCTTGATCCTTTCCTCAAGGATTTCCTCAAATTCCTTAAGGTGGCATGGGTGGGGGCATTCATATTGTCACATGTGCAGAATATAAGCCAGGGAGCATATTGCATTCCAACTTCTTAGACTGAGTTCCTAATGAGAAGGTAGATATTTAAGTTCAGCCTTCAGAAGGAAGTCTTGCATAAAGACCAGAGTAAGGAAGAGAAGAAATTAGTCAGGAAAAACCCTTGAATAAATATGAACAAGCTGATGGTAAAAAAAAAGAAAAAAAAAAGTGTTTTTCTGATAATAATAATAAAGTATTAATCAAAAAAAATTCTAAATGCATATTTCTGTTGTAACTTTAACTTCTTTGAGAATACTAAGAAAAAAACACATCTAACCATGTTTCACACAACTATAGATAGCAATGTGGCTCTTTGAAGCAAGTATATTTTTACTGCAGGACTGCAAAATGTACAAATGGCCTTTGGGTCATGAGATTTTCTTTTCCTGTTAGTGCAACTAATACCCATCTCTTTTATGCTTGGCAGAATGTGTCTGTATCAGCTCACAGTGCACAATATTCAGGAAAAGGAACATACATTGGGATTGGCATATCTGTGGTGCTTCTTGTCATCCTTATTTTGGCTCTGTTTCTCAGTAGACGTAAGTACCACTCGGAAATCACATTCAAAGATGGGTAGGACGGTGAGTGTCTGCTCGTCCCGTGGGTGGCAGCTGCTGCAGGTTTGGGGCTGCAGAACCAAAGGTGCTCCAGGTGCAGGTTTGGTGCTCCAGGTGCTAGCAGGAGCTAGTGCCCGTGCCCGGCGCCCTGCGCTCGCTTGGTCACATCTCCACCATGGCGTTTGTGTCACTAGTCTGCACAGTGCCAACGTGGTCCGGTTGGTTTGAGTCTCGGGCTTCATGGAAAGCTGCTGAGCGAGGGGCTGATGAGGAGATACAAGCTCAGCTCCCCAGCCCCATTCTTTTCTTCATGGATATTTTCCATTCCCCACTTGCCGTGTTTTCTCTGTCCTTCCTCAATGATGAGGGAAGGTGCATCAGGTTCATGAAACTATTCAGTACTTTTCATGCTAGCTTTTTTCCTTAGAGGCTCTTGGTCAGCCCAAACTACGTTTTTTATTATTGTTATTTTTAACCTCATAGAAATAATGGGGATTTCCTATACTGAAAGCATCTGCTTTAAGGTTCCCTTGTTTAGTTTCTAGCACATTTTTCCTTGGCGAACCTGATATTTTCCTTGCTCCTGATGTTTTAAAGAACATTGTTTTTCTTTTTCTTCCTTCCCACTCTGGATGATCCTTAGACTATTTACACAATACGAAGAAGCTGAGTAACTTTCCAAAGTAAGTATTCTTTCCTGTTTCTGCTTTAGCTAAGAGGAAAAAAAAATCACAGAAAAAAAAAAAAGGGTTGTGATTCCTCCTAGACACATGCTGACTCTTCACTCATTGCATACTTTAACTTAAGATGAAAAATATCAAATTAATAGGAAACATTTATTAATGAATTTGGTTACTGATCATTAGTTAATAAGCAAAAACTCATTGCATTAGGAGCATGTAAACTTTCTGCAGGTTGTCTCATGAAAAGAAATGATTCATTATTAGTTGTGTTTAATAAGTGTTTTTGCATATTTTACATTTTTTTTTCCAGCAATTTAGTTATTTGGATTATTTTTGCATTTCCATTGCCTCTTGTTGTTTGACAATGTGTGTTTTACTCTTTTTGCAGCTCTGTCATATTTTGGAGATCAGAACGTGCAGGGAGTCAAAATGGCCTGGAAGTCGAGGTGCATGCAGAGGAAAACATTTATACAATACATTAAGGAATGCACTCATATTTGCTTTTTTCATCACCAGGACATTAGTTTGCAAAATGTTAGTTGCTCAGCAAACTCAGCAGCTAAATGCGAGTGGATGACTGACATATTATTCATTTCATTTTAATAAAGCAAAATAAAAGCTCCCATTCTAAATAAAATCTTTATCAGCATATTCCAGAAAAGGAATTGCTTCTGACTTAAATGTAAATATTATCTTCAGAATTCACTTACCAAAACACAGTGAAAGTTGCTATTGTATTTATTATCTGATTCAAACGCTGATTTCAAATCTGTTTCAAAAAAAAAGGAAGTGCTTGGAGGACTGCTCAGTCAGAAAAAGGAAAAGCACACACTTTTTATATATTTTTTCTTTTCACTATGTATTCTGTCCATCAGCTACAACACACTCCATGCTATCTGAGGGCAGGACTGACCTCATAGCTGCCGTGGCAAAGATGACTCTATGGAAAGATTGGTAATATTTGTATGTCAAAATACATTTCACTGATTTTTTGTTGTTGTTGTTGTTGTTGAAGTTGGATGTATCTGTTCATGGTAATGGATCAATTAGACAATGTCTTGTCCAGCTGCAGTTAAATCTGGAGTAACTGTGGATGCTCAGCCCCCCATGGGATGTCCTCCAATGCTACCGGACCAGTCCTTTGATGTGCAGAATATTCACAACTTGCTTTCAGCAAATTTTGACTAAGTGTTTTTCCTTCTGGAAAAAAAACAGAGGTTTCTCTCCACGGCCTTCTCAAGCCTCCGCATGCTCTGACAGGTCCTCGGTGTAGGAGTCTGGAAAGGAGACTTTCTAAAACAAGCAGGCAAACAAGAAACAAACAAACAAAAAAAACACTGAACAAAGCAACAAACAGCTACTCTGATGAAAAATTAGTTTTAAAATTCTTCTCACTGCTTGTAGAGAAGTCATGGACACTGCAGAAAATATTACCCTTTGTGTATTATGCTGCATTTTTGTGTTAGATTTTATTTTTTTAGTGAGGAGCTGCTGCGGTCTGGAGCCTTTCCTGTGTAGCTCCTCTGTTAGCCATGACTCTCAGTTTTTGTTCTGTGCAAAGTAAATGCTGATTTGCTTGAAAACAGGCAGCCCTCTGAGGTTGAATTAGCACTTTGTGCCCTCTGGATCAATAAATAGAAGTCTCCAACCCAGCTTTAAATGGAAGAATAGTTTTCCTCAATTACTCTTGAGAAAACATTTTGAACAGATGCTGGGGACCTCCTGAAAGAGCAGAGAAGTAGGTGAGGTGGGAGAGGGAGACAGGAGACTGGGGGTTGCTGCATGTGCAAGGGGAAGGTCCTGAAGGGCAAGAGGGCAAGGTGGTACCAGTGGCCCTGGCATGTTTTGTGTGTCCTCCTGTGAGGTGCCTTGTCTTGGGACTGTCCATGAAAGCAGGCCTGGAAGGCTGAAACTGGAAAGAAGAATTCATGTCTGTGTGAAGAGCTGAAAGTTGGTACGCAGGTTTTGCATAGGGAAGCACAGAGGTGTGAGGAGAGCCGAGGAGGAAACCAGCTCTGCGTAAGCCTTCATGTCACGAGTTGCCTTGTGTGAAAAGGAACTGAAACTAGAATAGACCTGTTAGTCATGTATGGAAATATAATCTAAGATTACCAGTAACAGTTATTAAGCTACTACTAACCAATGATACCGCTTTAAAAACTGCTTTGTTGCTGTCTGACTGAGCACGTGTCACTGCTCTGAGCGCTGGAGCATGACCAGAACTGGAGGAGGGCTGGTCTGATCTCTGAGCCAGATCTCAGAAAAGATCTCCAGTAATTTCTGCCTCCTATAGCTTTTCCCAAATCAATCATCTCTGCTGGGATCAGTGCTAGGCAAGTGCGAGTCTTCCAAAGTTACTTGGGAGTTTCCTTTAACATATGAGATAATTCCAACAAGTCATAAATGGTTTGATGACTGTTCTTGACAATAGCTAACCATGAGAATTGACTTTAAGGACTTTTTAAAATTAATAATACAGATTTGTCCTTAGTGCAAAAAGAAGTTTAGAATATTTGATAAGCAAAATCCTTCTTAAGGTTTCCCTTCTGCTTATGTGTGCTGTGCAATTACTGTTAAACAGACTCTGCAGAGGTTGTGTTTAGCATAAGTGCAAATGCATGCAGGCAGAGTTTCCTTCTGTCTTTTTCATCATTTTCATTGTTGCCACTTCTGTCAGTGGATCTTGGAAAAGGCAGCCCAAAAGTCCCCAAAAGTCCCCAGGCGTCCCCACGCATCCCCACTGGTACCCCCTATCCCCATGAGTCCCTACATGTCCCCATGCTTCCCCACGCATCCCCAAACGTCCCCACACATACCCACACATACCCATGTGTCCCCACGAGTCCTGACATGTCCCCATGCGTCCCCACACATCCCCAAACATCTTCCCACGTCCCCACGCTTTCCCACACATCCTAACACGTCCCCATAAGTCCGCATAAGTCCCTGTGTGTCCTCATGCGTCTCTATACGTTCCCACACGTCCGCATGGGTCCCAACGTGTCCCTACATGTCCCCCAAACATCCCCACACATCCTGACATGTTCCCACACGTCCCCACATGTCCCCACACATCCCCACATGTCCCCACACGTCCCCGCACAACCCCACGCGTCCCCACATGTCCGAACACATCCCCACACATCCCCACACATCCCCACGCGTCCCCATGTGGGGGAAGCGGCATCCAGCCAGCAGGGTCTCAGTACCGTGGAGGGCTCGGACGCAATGCGAGCAAGTGAAGCCTAAAATGATGCAAAGCAGCCCGGGCCGAATGCCAATCAGTATAAAACACAATTGCATCTCCCCGTTTTCAGTCCATTGTAATTCATGTGGAATCAATTTAATCCATTTTCAGAGCCATTACAGAATTTTAAATTGTTCACCTGATAATTTAAAATGGGTCATGAGCACTGAACATTTGTCATGTGGGAAAAAGCATGAAAAAAATAATCCCCTGCAATAGTTAGCAAGGAATTACTGTCACTTCTTTACAAATAGAAGATGCTCCCAAAATCCTCAGGCTGATGTACTTTGAAGTACTCAGGCTGTCTTCTCCCATCTTCTGAGCATGGGCTGTGCCGGGGCTGGTAGCAGGACATTTGTAGGGTGGACTCCAAATGGCACGTCCTCAGCAGCGGGAAGGTTGCTGTGGCATGTTGCACCTCTGCAGCCACTCCACATCTGTGCAGCTCTTCTATTTCTATGCTGATTCTCTTTCCAAGAATACATATTCCATCTTATATCTTTGAAAATAGACTAATGATATTCCCCATGCATCTGTGTTCATGGCCCAGTGTTGGGAATAAGCAGCAGTTTGAGTAGATGCTTTTAGGGTTATTTATTTGCAGGTTTTGTTGATTCTTCCCAGCCTTTAAAGCGCAGTGACTGCACTGACAGGTGCAATCAGAGTGATGCTTTTGGCCTTGCCATGTTTATGTCCAGCGAGTATTTATCTTGCCTTTCATCTCTGCTGTGACATCCTGCACGTTATCATGAACTGCCCTACAGAATAACAGGGGGCTGGGAAAGCTGCTTTAACCATCTGGAATGACTTAATGTAGTGTTTTCAGTTTTCTGGTGTCCTCTTATAAAAATGTGGGTAAGTACTTTTCAAGAGAGAGGAGCCTAGGAAAGGCTCTGTCTAGCCCTTTTGTCTTCAGGCATTTTTGCTGTAGTTTGCCATCTCAGCAGTGGAAACAACTGTGGGATTGTCTTCTTTTGTTTTTCTCTAGCAAAAATGATGCTTTGCAGATGTTGATGTCTTGGCGACCCTTTCCAAGTGGAACTGAACCAGCAGCCATCCAAAATGACAGTCTGAAATCCTGAGGGAGAGGGGAAGGAAAAGCAGCTCTCACGGATATCTGGCACTATTACATAGCCTTCTTGACATTCTTTAAAAAGACATGGCATGTTATTTAAATAAACCTGGAGTAGCAGGTACACTCACGTACCGAGGCTGGCTGGTCCATGTATAGGGCCAAGGCATGCAGGATGTGACTTGAAAGGCTTCCAGGAGCCACCTAGTCCTAAGTGTATTCATAAGCCTTAAATCAAACAAAAACTACTTGTGTAGTGCAATTAGTGCCTCTCCAAAAAAATATTACTATATTTACTAAGATGCCAGCTAGTCCCATTGAACACAAGCTGCTCATGGACACAGCAGTAAGGAAATGAACTCATTGTGTTCATCCATTGCAACAGGCCTAGGTAGACAAGGCCAAAAACAAACGTCGACCCAGACAGATCCATTATAACTTTTTCTACTGCAGAATAGGATAACACGTCACCAACTCACGGTAAGAACAGAAGAGTCTATTACTGCATTTTCATCAGACTTAGAACTTGGATTTTCATGCGCTATTTTCAGCTGGTTGCAATGGCTGTTGCATAGATTGATGTTACACTGCCCTCATACTGATTTCAGGGTTTTGTGCTTTCTCCTTCTCTTAAAAACAGGGATGTCTTGTCTACACTGCCACTGTTCAAGTTAATGCTCACCAACACCCAACCTTTCCCAAAACAGAGTTAAACAGCCAAGTGAGTTTATGATGGCAATAAAGATCAACCTTTAAAAATGCTTTTGAAAACAAACATTTAATTTTACTTTTTTAGATACAGTGACCTTGTGTTTGGCAGGCATTGCACTCACAGCCAGCTCAAAGTCACGTAAAGTTCTGTTGTAGGCTGCTATTTTTTTAAAACTTGTCTGTTGTATTTCTAGAGCTAATGTAAAATGTTCTGAGTTTATACCACTCTTACCTCATCTCATACAGGGCAAGTGATTTCAGAGACCTGCACAGTATTCAGGGCAAGGAAGTATATTGTTATATCCTTGCTGTCAGAGTGGAGAATATAAAATGATCTATAGCCCATGTCCACTGTGAAGAAGACCGAGCAAAAGTTGTTTTGGAAGGAAGGCCTTCAGCTTCAGGGAGGTCGGTGCTGAGAACCTATTGACACAGAGAAACCAGCAGGATCAAAGCACCCAAGACTTAATTGCAGGGCAAGTTTGGAAAGTTGTCGTATTTTAAATTTG